GAAGGGTCGTGCCATGAACAAGTTGAGACGCAGTGTATCCAGTGTCAGCTTTCACTACGTTGCGAATACCTAGTAAGACGAGTGAAAGGGCGTCAGTACACTGAGAAATGTTTACGGCTGATAGTGAAGCCTTTAGTTGTCGGTCAAAGCGTTCTACTAACTCGTTTGCATGTGAGCGGTAGGTGGTCGTTTGGAAGCGAGTGATTCCTAGTAGTGTGGTCAGACAACGGAAAAGTCCATATCCAAACTGGCGTCCACGATCTGTAGTGATGGTTGAAGGGCAGCGGAAGTTTACTAGCCATCTTCTGACAAAGGCGCGGGCCACTGTTTTGGCAGTGATGTCCTTGATAGGTACTGCCTCTGGCCATCGAGTAAAATGATCTACATAGGTTAAAAGACAAGAGTATCCATTTGAATCTGGTAAAGATCTAACCAAATGCCAGAAGGGTATTAGTTGGTGCGAAGGTTGGGACATAGTTTTTAACCTAAGTACCTTGGGTGAATGTTCAGTCATGCTGAAATATCAAGCACAAGTATGAACGAGTGAGAAATGTATATATCCCAAAACACGGAAAAAATATCACACTGTATAAAAATTAAAGTAAAGCAGCAATTCATGAAATTCCCAAAAGGAACAGACCCGCAGTTTGAAATTTGGTGTACCAGATCACGTTGGGCTCACCAATGAAGATGCCATAAGTATTTGGAGTTGGACAACGCTTTAATTAGTAACACCTAATATGAATCGTATCCACCAAGTGAAATCAAAAGACAGAAGCGAGGAGGTTCAAAGATATATTTGATAGGCTATCAATATATCGAGAATCGACTGATCTAATCTGGCTAGCGATTGCAGTAGATGTTGAGAACGGCGTTCCCATGCGTGATCTGGTGCAGATGCATGACCGAGCACCTTCAGCTAGATGAGTCCATTAAAACTAATGTGGTCAGCATCCAATGTCGAAAACTTACAGAGCTATTTATTTTGGGGATTTATTTACAGCTACAAACACTTCAAAGTATAAATTAGTCCATCTGCGACATGTCACAGATTACAGTTACAACTTAAGAGACTCCTCTCTAGTAGTATCCCGAGTTGAAAAAGATTTAGGCGTCCTGTTACCCTACGATTTGAAGTCTTACACTAACTGTGACAGAAAAGTCTTTCGAGCAAATCTTGCACTGGTAACATTGAAGCGCATTCTCGGCCAGTTTGACGAAAGGACCTACCACATAATCTTCAACAGTTTTATTCGTCCCCATTTAGAGTACGGAAACATAATATTTCCTCCCTCACTCCAAAAGGATAAGGACAAGCTCGAGCGTATCCAACGGTGACCCACGAAATCAGTTCGGGGACTCATATTTAAACCTTATGAAGAGCGCCTCCAATCACTTAACCTCTACCCATTAGAGTACAGACGTCTTAGAGGTGACCTTCTGATGGCTTACAGTATCCTTAACACAGCTGGACATCCTCTTAAACACCTACTTAAGCTTAGTTCCAATACTAACCTAAGGGGTAACACCCAGAAATTGGAGACAAAACATAGCAGGACGGACTGTAGACACAACTTCTACTCCTTAAGAGTTGTCAAATGCTGGAATTCGCTGCCGGCTGAGCTAGTCCAAACGCCTTTCCAGGAGTCCTTTGAGAGGCAACTTGATCTATTCTTAAGGACTATGGATAGTATCTTACTATGATTTACCAATTCATTGTTTTTTCTACTAGACATGAAAGCCTGTTAAACGAAAGCTTCTTCTATTCCGTCCACAACCGTTTGAACTATTTTTTGTTTTACATTATGTAAGAAATCCATAAGAATTGCAATAGTGACAGTTCTCAGGTGAACGTAGTTTAAAATTTAAAATTAGCTCTTGATGTTAAGATAACAGTTTTGGAAAGTTTAAATGGAATCGCGTAAACTTTAAGTAATATGACGAAATAGTTCTAATATTGAAAAGTTTAGAATCTTGACAAGACACTTACAAAAACTCGCATTCGAAGTGCGTATTGTGAAATTGCATTATATTATAATGATACATTAAAAAGGGACATAAAATATTTATATGTACAGTGAATACATTGGTTATCGATCACAATCTGAAAGGTCAGTTCTGTTTATTGGACACTGAATAAACACTTTGCCTTGGTAGCGCTCTCTGGAATAATTTATCTGCGATGTCAGATTCGTCCGATGTGACCGAAGTGGATGAATCCTGGAAGGTTAACCTTGAGATCGCGCTGTTAGGTAATCCGAAATGTTTGTTGTCAATTGTTTTTTGACAATTTTGAGGCTAGTAGTTAATGAGAGATATCTTAGTAATAAAATACGTACGTCAGCTTTGTATAACAGTCATAAATATAATTGTGTTTTATTTCAGGCTAGTCTAGTCTAGTCACTATGAATCCGTTGTGGGATCCAGTCATTTCACAAAGAATATGACGCCTTAGATTCTCGTATCAGTAAGCTCTCTGGGCTCAGCGCTAGTGCATCCCAGAGGATTATTTCGTTCCACCAGCTTTTCTAAAACGTAAATAACAGGGAAGAATTGTTCGCCAAGGATAAAACTTTATGAAAAATGTAGGGCTTGCGACGTTAGAAACGTAGGCTCTTGGCGTTCGTCTGCACAATAAACCAGTAAGGTGCATGCTAGCTGTAAAATGACGTAGGAGTCGTTTCATTTTCAGTGTAAAAAACGTATGTAATGATCAAATTGTTAGTCGCATACTGTAACTGTGATATAGAGTAGCTTATAATTCACTGCACTACTCACATTTGTCTCAATCTATCTTCATAAGATTAAATTTCGAGCAATATCCCGTTTTTGTTAGGTTTCATTACTCAATTTCATGTCGAAAAAAATTAATGTCGTAATGCATTTTCGCTTATAAACCAACTGGCGACTTGCACAATTAACCACTTACAACGTTCTTAAACTTTTGCATTTTTTAAAACCAGTTGCTATGATGTTGACAGTGATGATGGAAGTAATAAATTTCTGTAATATTTTCACAGCAGCAAATTCACTTTGTCATGAAACCAACGGGATAAGGATACTCTGCAAACAGTTATATCACCGACCACACCAAGTATAGTCGATTTGCTTAATTTCTTTGTCATGTTGATACAGGCGTTTGTAGTTTTGCTACTGTTGAGCGTATTGACGTGATCAAACCAAGAATTACAAAATAAGAGTGGTAGTAGATTACATATAATGTTTTAATGTCAATATATTTCAAATGCACAACAGGTTACCTGGAGATGTCGTTTTCAATAATTACTTTTCAGGGAACTTTACTTGTCCCAGAATTGTGAAATTTCAAACTCACCATAGCTTCAGATATCTGACTTATATCATTGAGGAGTTGGAAAACCCTGATTCCAAACTAATGGTGCACTTGGGCTCCAGGATCCTGAGAGGACAAATGGACCAATTATTGGTCATCGGCTACCATATGACTTCATTTCCTGACGTTGCTCCACTTCCTTGTGCGTCAGACCGTTTGGTCAAAGGATCCGGATGTGGCCCCCTAAGAAAATCACCTGTTTCGGTTTCGACACCCGAGCTGTATCGTAGCCCACACACAAATCAAGCGGATTGTGCGGGGCATATGTATTTGTTTCTCCTTTGTGTCAATATTTATGTGTTCAAATAAATAATAATAGATAGTCACCAACTTGATCATAGAGCTACTGCTGGCAATAAAGTCCTCGTCGTCTAGATTTTCGGGTATCGATCTACTTCCAGGTGGTCCTCTTATTGGCTTAGGATACGCAGATGACATAGTCCTGTTTGGTGAAGACTTTTAGTAGCACTAATCAACAATGCCAGGATGTTTGAGATGTGTTTCTCGCCCTTTAAATGCAAATTGTTGCTTCAGGACTGGCCAACACCTGAACTAAGGATAGTGAATGAAGTAGTTGAACGCGTTGACAGCTTCATTTATCTTGGAAGTGTGATCAGCCCTAATGGGTTCAGAAAGCTCGTCTGGGTTTTGTCAACTTACGTCACTTATGACGAAGACAAAATATCCGTCTCTCAACTAAGAGACGAGTATACTGCGTAGCAGTTCGTTCCGTTTTCCTTTGCGGCTGCGAAACGTGGTCTTTAAGGGTAGAGGATATTCGTAAGTTACAAGTATTTGGTCACATATGTCTTAAAATTATTGCTCGTATCTGCTGGGATCACCGGGTAAGTAATAGCAAGGGTAGACTCATGGTATTAGGTAGTGGCGGTAAGTCGGTTGATGAGGTTGTGTATCTACATCGACTGAGATGGTTGGGTGACGTATTGCACATGTTAAACCATCGACTACCACGGCGCACAATACTGACTAGTCAGTTAGTCAGTCAGTAACAACAAAGAACTTCGTACGTACGTACATCAGTTCGAGTTGCCATACCACATTAGCACAGAGATTCAGTTATCGATTCAAATCCCGTAGTGGTAGAGGTAGTGATAGGGATTTGATGATGTTATTTAAGGAGTATAGTCCAGTGGAATCGATTTGGAAAGAAAATAAAGGACATAAAGAATTCAGAAGATTAGAGTTTGCGAGAACACAAAGAGTGGATGCACTTGCGCCATTGCAAAAGATTTTGAGCCATGTCATTCAAGATCTCTAACCATCGGTTGCTATCGTCTCGCGGACCCCAACCAGGTAGCCTACACCTACCAAAGGTCGGAAAGCGTGAATCGAGTCGGTTCGTTACTTTGACATGGTGAGATCAAATGAATGACACTACTCGGATCCTGTATGCGCATTTCGGAGACGCAGCACACATCGATGGCGCGAGATACTAAAGTCCTAGCTAAGGAAGCCTGTTGTCCTATTTGGCACCGTGTTCGGACGTTGAAAGGTCCTAGGTGTAGTTTAGAGCTTATTATTATTATTATTATTATTATTATTATTATTATTATTATTATTATTATTTTAACATAGATATTGGCACAAGGAGGCACCAAATACATATGCGCCACACATATATCGATTGATTTGTGTGAGGGCTGTGATACTGACCGGGTGACAACCTTCGGAGCAGATATCCGAGCCATCAAAGTCTGTGCTTCAAGGTAATGAAAGCAACTGAATTATCGTCACAGCTCGAACACATGTCAAACCTCTGCATTATTAATACGTTGCCACTCAATGTCGGCACTCCCTCAGAGATAACAGTGACTAAACACAGAACGTTGCATAACATCCTCGATTCAGAAAGACCAAGTTTCACAAACATAGAACAAAACTGCTCTCACCGATGCGTTTTAGATCTAACCTTTTACAGCCAGATTAACATCGCATCGGCGCCAAATATTGCATAGATCGACATACTCTGCTCTGGTTCTCACCATGCGTAAATTGATCTCATTATTCATTCCATCCCCAGCACACACGGCAATACAAATACATGAATTTTCCGACCACTTATAACTGCTCACCACCAAGTGTGAGTGCAGGTACAGTCTTCTGCCAGTTCTGGAGAAGTAATTTGCATTTAGAATGTACAAAGTGCATGCCGTTGATTGTGCAGCTTGATTATCACCGCAAACTAAGATCAAAAAAGTTTTTCTCCAGGTGACAAATGCAAATAATTGTTCATCATAGTTTTAGTGAGTGGGCTGGGATACTGCCCGGGTGCCCAGACCGAAGCAGGTGGTTTTCTTAGGGGGCCACACCCCGAGCCTTTGACCTAAAGGTCTAGTCCACAAGGCAGTGGAGCATCGTGAGGAGATGCAGTCCCATGGAAGCCGGTGACCAAAAGTTGGTTCATACGCCATTTGTTCCCGCAGGATACTGGAGCCCATGTGCACCATAGAATTGGGATCCGGTTATAGCGCCGGAAATTCGCTTTTCGTCCTCTCATTTTCGTAAACAACACCCCCGCCACGAGAAGGCAGTGAGTAGGACTTCCCTGGCAGAGGCTGTATACGCGTGGCCGTGTGAGAGTATTTGGAGAGGGAGGGCGAACCCTCCCCGCTCTCGGCCATACCAGGGCATTTGGGGGCCTCCAGGTGACATCTACACTACAATTACCTTTTTCTATCAGAGCTGTTTCTAGAATACTGCCTTAGGTATCCAGTGGCACTAGTAAGTCAATAATCCGCCGTTGTTATGCCTATTGGTGCCATCAATATTACTGAGTCTGGTAATCGGCGAGTTAAGTTCTGATCATGTCGTAAAAGAAATAACGTTTCTAGCAGTCGTCTGTGTCGCACTGTACGTATTTCTAAGTTATCTATTCAGTGAAGTTAAAGGAGACACAGTAAAAATATACCCGATCATTTTCCTGTAAGTTGTATACACATAGTTGATGTTAATAAAAACTGTTTCTCTGTAAACTAATAAATGGCGATTGATTTTTATTTGATCTCCAGTTAAGCGACGGAACCATGAATTCTCGTAAACAGTACTCAGCAATTCATGGTTATAGTTCATAGGCCGCCTAGTTGCTGTGTGAAACCTCTATCAACCGACCCATATCTATAGTCAATAGCCTTCTAATATACCAGACATTTTGAGGGAGTAATCTTTGTAATGATGACTGTGTTATCGATCGCTACAGATAGATGACCTTTGATTCTGGATACATATTTCACCTCAAAGTTGTTAGCTTACCTACTCTTGGGTTAAAAACTGACAAGATTCGTCCCTTGAATTGTTGAATAAGTAAGAGACTCTTCTATGCGGAACGAGATACCGAAATATATTTTGAAAATAATATCGGACTAGCTGTTCAAAGCAAATGTATGAAATGATATGGCTCTGATAACGGTAATTACAAATTGGTTATCATTACTACTTTTATTGATCCTGTTAGGGGTTCAAAATAATGTTTTTGTTCGGTAAGTAAGGGTACAGATATAGTAAATCGGAAAAACTTGACATCCTTAAAAATCTATTACCATAAGCAGAACAACTACTCTTTTTCATGACTTCTGTTTTGTTTATTCTGGTTTTATCACTGCCTTGTTTTTTTAGAGGATGCCGACATTTTTCGAATTCGCGATATTTGTGCCATGCGTCCTGTCCCTGAAAATCTACGCCCTGACGTTTGGCGCATATGTCTGAGGTTGGACACTCAGTCGCAAGCAATGGCTACATTTAACGATGTCTTCGAATTAGAAAATCAGTCACAACTTCACGAAGATTGTGAGTTGGCTTCTGAGGAGTTATTTAATCGTCTGACCAAAGAGCATAGTCTTAAACAGTCAAAAAATATTTCTAATCTATCAGTGAACAGTGATAATGATGATTCAGATTTAGAAGCGTCATCCCTCAGTATGTTCCTCCCACCAGCCGCAAAGATATCTAGTGATTTGGAATCTGTTTTAACGCATTTCGCTCAGACTTATTCTTTGAAATATAGTTCAAGCAATGGTTGGGTATCAATACTTAAAGTACTTTTCATTGTCCTGAAACCGGCCAATCGGTCGGAACTGTATGCGAGTTTTGTTTCATTCTATCATCGTTTCGTTGCTACGGGAGTAAATATTGATCAATGTGTAAGTATAGTTTTCCGTTTGTTGTTGCAATATCACGAACCAAAGTTGTGCAGCTTTTTGGATTCATTAAAAGTTAGTCCTGAAAGTTACTTCATACCTTGGATGTCAAGTCTTTTCGCTGATTTTATATCAGAAAATGTTATACCATCCCTATGGGATTTATATTTCTTGAAGTCGGACCCTTTGCTTGGGTTCTATATTGGTTTACTACTTATTGTTAATGCCAAGTCCGTTCTACTTAACCAACAGTTCGATAAAACTGAGGATAATGAAAATGATTCAAATACAAATAATTTACTTTCGTATACTAATGATCAGACTTCTTTCGGTAAGCATGAATTTTGAATATTCCCTATTTTCCCTTCAAATATAAATGAATTGTTTATTTCGATAATGTAATAAGAAGACGGAGATTATCAGAACTATGTGATATATTAGCGCAATACATTTCGTACAATCTGATCACACATATACTTGTTAAGAGCATTTATATATAAAAATAAAAGGTCAAAACCTGATCACTCTGGATAATAAGTCAATATTACCAGAGTAGGTTTAAGGTAAGAACAAACGGTTTTTGAATACACAAAGGGGGTTTGAATTTTCGTATGGCTAAGGCTTTGATAAACCTTAATATACGCCCCTTTACACTTTTATATAATACCACAAAAGGCGAGTTTAGATCAATCTTGTGCCCTGTTTCAATTATATGTTTAGCAATAGAGGATGATGGATGTTTATCCTCTGCTCTTATTGGGTCATTACATTATCGAAATTTATAAAAGGGACTAATTGCTTTGAATCGTTTATTTATAATCAGCATAAGATCGTCTAGCCTCAAGTCAAATTAAAGTTTGGCTTAAGTTTTTAGGCTCCGGACTTTCTCTTAGCGAGTTGTCAATTTAAAGATCATGTATCTATTGCGATTTTTCTATTTTATTCATTGCTCAAATAACAAATAAGTAGGGATGCTAAGTTGGATTTATTTACTAATTAGCTGTTATTGTGACTTTTTTGATCGTAATATAACCAAATAAAGTTAACGAGAATAGTTTATTTCTTATATACACCAGACTTCATTTGAAAGTTTATTCGAAGTGATTTTGTGCGACTTGGATTATTTTAGAAGCTCACTCTTTTGACTCTTTGATCAAACTAAATACATTCTTGTCTCCTGGGAAACAATTTATAATCCAATTATTGAATCAGTATTTAATCATCCAACTTATTATTATTATTATTATTATTATTATTATTATTATTATTATTATTATTATTATTATTATTATTATTATTATTATTATTATTATTATTATTATTATTATTATTATTATTATTATTATTATTATTATTATTATTATTATTATTATTATTATTATTTATTATTATTATTATTATTATTATTATTATTATTATTATTATTATTATATTATTATTATTATTATTATTATTATTATTATTATTATTATTATTATTATTATTATTATTATTATTATTATTATTATTATTATTATTATTATTATTATTATTATTATTATTATTATTATTATTATTATTAATTATTATTATATTATTATTATTATTAATTATTATTATATTATTATTATTATTAATTATTGTTATTATATTATTATTATTATTATTATATTATTATTATATTATTATTATTATTATTGTTATTATTATTATTATTATTTTATTATTATTAATAATAATATTATTATTATTATTATTATTATTATTATTATTATTATTATTATTATTATTATTATTATTATTATTATTATTATTATTATTATTATTATATTATTATTATTATTATTATTATATTATTATTATTATTATTATTATTATTATTATTATTATTATTATTATTATTATTATTATTATTATTATTATTATTATATTATTATTATTATTATTATATTATTATTATTATTATTATTATTATTATTATTATTATTATTATTATTATTATTATTATTATTATTATTATTATTATTATTATTATTATTATTATTATTAGTATTATTATTATTATTATTATTATTATTATTATTATTATTATTATTATTATTATTATTATTATTATTATTATTATTATTATTATTATTATTATTATTATTATTATTATTATTATTATTATTATTATTATTATTATTATTATTATTATTATTAATTATTATTATTATTATTATTATTATTATTATTATTATTATTATTATATTATTATTATTATTATTATTATTATTATTATTATTATTATTATTATTATTATTAATTATTATTATTATTATTATTATTATTATTATTAATTATTATTAATTATTATTATTATTATTTATTATTATTATTATTAATTATTATTATTATTATTAATTATTATTATTATATTATTATTATTATTATTATTATTAGTATTATTATTATTATTATTATTATTATTATTTCATTATTATTATTATTATTATTATTATTATTATTATATTATTATTATTATTATTATTATTATTGATTATTATTATTATATTATTATTATTATTATTATTATTATTATTATTATTATTATTATTATTATTATTATTATTATTATTATTATTATTATTATTATTATTATTATTATTATTATTATTATTATTATTATTATTATTATTATTATTATTATTATTATTATTATTATTATTATTATTATTATTTTTATTATTATTATTATTATTATTATTATTATTATTATTATTATTATTATTATTATTATTATTATTATTATTATTATTATTATTATTATTATTATTATTATTATTATTATTATTATTATTATTATTATTATTATTATTATTTACTACGTCGTTTATGCACTATCTCCTATTTCTACTTTTTGTATCCATTTCGACTCAGACAGCAGCTCGCCTATGGTGAAAATTCAGCTTAATCTAAACGTTCTCGAGTCACTGCATGGTTGAAATTTGTATGTTACCACCGAATATGAGTACTGAAGCAGTTTTTCTGAAACGACGTACACCATTCAAACTGGCTGCCTTCAACGTTCGCACACTTATGCAGGTCGGACAACAGATAGGGCTGGTTATGTCTTTGGAAAGTCTTAATATCGATGTGTGTTGTCTATCCGAGACCCGTATTCAAGACTCTGGTGAAGTACTACAAGTTCGCTCTCCATCTGTCACTTCAAAAAGCTTGTTTTATGTGCGTTTATCCGGGGACCCTGTGGCATCTTCGTCTGGTCTTGCTGGCGTTGGTGTCGCACTAAGCGCAAGAGCTGAGGCAGCACTAATCGACTGGATCCCCATTAACAGTCGGTTATGTGCTGTTAGATAAGAAAGTTCCATCAAAGTGAGAAGAACTCGACGTTAGAAACGGTGTCTTTTCGTCATCTACGCCTATGCTTCGACATGTTGCAGCCCGGATGCAATCAAGGATGAATTTTACCACCAGTTAACTGTTCTTCTCCAGAAAGTACGTTCGAAAGATATTGTTGTACTAGCCGGAGACTTTGAATGCTCAGGTCGGGCATCTAGTCACAAAAGAGAGTTGTTTAGGTGACCGATGGGGACTTGTCGGTCACAGGACAGATAACGGGGACTGTCTACTGCAACTGTGTGCAGACCACAACCTGTTTGTGGCTAGTAATGACTTTCGGCACAGTCATCGCCGATGTGCCACCTGGCGTCCTCCTTCTACATCTCAAGCCTGGACTCAGATTGATCACATCGCGATCAGCTACCGCTGGCGTGGTTGTGTACAAGACTGCCGCTCCTTTTGGAGTACCTATCTGGAATCTGATCATGCCATGGTCTGCGCCAATCTTACCTTACTTTTCAGTGGACAAAGAAGTGATCGCCATCAAAGGATTGATGTTAGCAATCTGGCTGCAACTTCTGTTGCTAGTAAGTACCGAACCGAGCTAGCTTCTAGGCTAGCTAGCATTCCACCGAAAAGTATAGATGAGCATTAGTTGCAATTGCATGACGCCATGAAAATGGCGGGTCAAGTCTGTTGTGGGTTCGCGAAACGTCCCGCTTACAAGCACTGGGTTTCTTCTGGTTCCTTACAACTGATTGAAGCCCGTCGGTCTACTCCGGGTGACCGTGAGCTTGACCACAGACGAAGGATGTTACGTAATGAAATCGGGCAAAGCTTGCGTAAGGACCGTGAAGCCTGGTGGTCGGAGCGTGCCAGTGGGTTGGAAGCAGCAGCTGCATCTGGTAATTACCGGAAGCTCTTCCAACTCATCCGAGCCACTGGCAGCAAGAAGTCTGGTGTGAGCGAAACAATCTGCGAGGATGACGGGATGCCAATCACTAACATCCATCGACGTCTTGGACGATGGGCAGAATTCTTTGAAGGGCAGTTCAACTGGCCTGCTGCTCCGGCAACATCGGTCAGACTGTCCTGTCCTCCATGGTCGGTGACGACTGATTCACCAAATGAGGTGGAAGTCCGCAAGGAACTCCAACTCTTGAAACGTTACAAATCACCGGGTCCAGACGACTTACCTCCGGCTCTTTTTAAAGATGGTGGTGACTTTCTGACTAAGGGAGTGACGACGTTGTTTACAAAGGTCTGGGAACTAAAGTGTGTACCAACGTCATGGAATGAGTCGATAGTTGTCCCTATCTTTAAAAAGGGTTCACGTTGTTCCTGTAACAACTATCAGGGGATAAGTCTACTTCTGATTGCGTCCAAGCTATTGGCTTCCATCATACTTCGTAGATTGTTCAGAACCCGAGAAGGATTGACTCGCGAGGAGCAGGCTGAGTTTCGTTCTGGTCGAGGATGTATTGATCATATCTTCACCCTCCGCCAAGTGTTAGAACACCGCCATACTTATCAAAGGCCAACAATCGTAGTGTTTCTTGATATCAGGGCTGCCTTCGATTCATTCGATAGGACTGTTCTCTGGGATTGTCTGTTGAAGAAGGGTGTGCCTGAGAAGTTTATTAACATCCTAAAAGCCCTATACACAAACACCTCAGGTAGAGTGAGGGCATACAACCACCTTTTTCCACTATTCCATTCAAGCAGTGGAGTTAGGCAGGGTTGTCCAATCTCACCATTCCTCTTCAACTTTGCCATCGATGACATTCCGGAAACAGCTCTGACGGATGTAAGTAATGGTGGTGTGGATCTGTTGCCTGGAGAAAGACTTCTCGACCTTGAGTATGCGGATGATATTGTCTTACTGTGCGAGAATGTTCAAGCCATGCAATCCGCACTTAATCAGTTGGCAATCAATGTCCGTATGTATGGTATGTGCTTGGCGCCTTCAAAGTGCAAAGTACTCCTACAAGACTGGCAGGATTCTAATCCTGTACTCATTCTGGATGGTGAGCAGATAGAAGTAGTCGAGAAGTTCGTGTATCTAGGTAGCTGCATAAGTGCTGGTGGTGGTGTGAGTGATGAGATCAATGCACGTTTGGTGAAAGCCAGAGCGGCTTATGCCAATCTGGGCCACCTTTGGCGCCTTCGTGATGTTAGTCTGGCTGTAAAAGGTCGGACCTACAACGCGACGGTGAGAGCAGTTTTGCTCTATGCTTGTGAAACCTGGCCTCTCCGAGTTGAGGATGTTAGACGACTCTCTGTGTTCGATCATCGTTGTCTCCGAAGGATTGCTGGCATCTAGTGGCAACACCATGTTAGTAATGCAGAGGTTCGGCATCGAGTGTTCGGTCACAGAGACGATAATGCAATTGGTGTCACCATCTTGAAACACCGACTTCGGTGGCTTGCACATGTTCTACGAATGTCGTCCCAGAGAATTCCTCATCGTGCATTATTTGCCGACTCTGGTACTGGTTGGAAAAAGCGGAGAGGTGGTCAGTATATGACATGGTGTCGTGGTATGAAAGAAAGCTGCAAAGGGCTAGCTTCTGTTGGTCCTTTACGACTCCCAGGTTGGGGTCCGAGAGACGGTGTAACGCAGTGGCTAGAGACGTTATCAGATATGGCTTAGATTAGAAGCCAGTGGCGATCCTGCTGTGACCTTCTTTTACTTTCTTCATAAAAAGTGGTTGTATCTTCCTTAACTGAAAGATTTCTTCTGATTGTACCTTTCCGTTTTCCCCATCATTGTTCTCTCTCTTTTTTTTATTTATTTATAATTCCCCACGTTCATTACTTTTTTTTCTCCTCTTCAAATTATCATTGTTTTGTGTGGCGCATATATATTTGTTGCCCCCCTGTACCAATATTTATGTGTTCAAATAAATAAATAAATAAATAGTGCACAAATTTGTTATATGTATATATAGTGTTAACCATTAGAAAATCATACAGGGTTACCTAAAATAACCTTTTTCAGTTGTGTTATCAGTATAATCTTGTGAAGTGCAGTGAAGATCTCATCTATTATTTTACCATAACTAACCATTTGTGTGTTTCCCAAATCATTATTTTTACTTCTGGAATAGTATAATGTTTCATGCAAGTCAGTTTACATTTGGACTTTGTCATTTATAGAATTTTAGAGATGTTTTTTACTACTACATGCTTAAGTTACGTGATATCATCAATATAGAATATATATGAGGGGTTGATGGTAAATCTGGTTGGCATTTCAATTTTTATTTGTATACTTTAAGTTGTTGCTTCAGGACTGGTCTGCTGGCTTCAGACCTGGTCGTGGCTGCATCGACCACACATTCACCATTCGTCAGGTTCTAGAACACAGGCATACATATCGGTGTCCGACAATGGTGGTGTTTCTTGACTTAAAAGCAGCATTTGACTCTGTACACCGAGAGGTTCTGTGGCAGTGTCTGTCATTGAAAGGCGTTCCTCAGAAGTACATAAACCTTGTGAAAGCTCTTTACTCGAACACTACTATTCGAGTCAGAGCCTATGGCGAACTGTCATCCGCTTTTGCAACCTCAAGTGGGGTCCGCCAAGGCTGTCCACTTTCTCCACTTTTGTTTAACTTCGTCATAGATATACTGATGGAAATAACGTTCTCATCGACTGAATACTCGGACATTGATCTCCTACCAGGAGGTCCACTTATTGACTTAGAATACGCAGATGACATAGTCGTGTTTGGTGAAGACGCTGATAAAATGCAGAGTCTTTTGTTAGCACTGAGCAACAATGCCAGAATATTTGAGATGCGCTTCTCTCCCTCTAAATGCAAGTTGTTGCTTCAGGACTGGTCTGCGTCAACAGCTGAACTAAGGATAGGGAGTGAAGTAGTCGAACGCGTTGACAACGTTACTTATCTTGGAAGTCTGATCAGCCCTAATGGGTTGGTGTCTGACGAAATCTCAGCACGGATTCGAAAAGCTCGTTTGGCTTTTTCCAACTTACGTCACCTATGGCGAAGGCGAGATATCCGTCTATCAATTAAGGGACGAGTATAGTTCGTTCCGTTCTACTATACGGCTGCAAACATGGTCTTTAAGAGTAGAAGATACTCGTAAGCTACTAGTATTTGACCACAGATGCCTTAGAAATATTGCTGGGATCACCGGGTAAGTAATAGTGGGGTTAGGCTCAGGATATTAGAGATTGATGGTAAATCAGTTAATGAGGTTATGAATCTTCATCGACTGCGATGATTCGGCCACGTGGTGCGTATGCCTGAACATCGATTACCACTGCGCGCATTGCTAACCGGTTTTAGGGATAATTGGAAGAAAGCTAGGGGCGGCCAAATCAAAACGTGGAATCAGTGCTTGAAGTCACTAACTTGTAGTCTGTCTCATGTTGGTAGATGCAGACTACCTGGTTGTGTTCCGCGTGACTATCGTAACCAATGGTTGGAGGCTCTTGGTGACATGGCTCAGAATCGATCGCAATGGCGTAGGTGTATACACTCTCTGTCTTCCTTAAATTAAGAGATTAAAATCGCTTCATATCTTTCTAGGAGCTAATTCTTTCTTCCTGTACTATATCCTTATACACAATCTTTCTTCTATATATTACCACCACTGGATTAACTACTTCTATAAATCCGATGTTCATCTTGTTGTGCTAATGCGGTATGGCAACTTGGACCGATGCATATATGTGCCTGATCCTACGTTGTAGCTGACTGACTGACTTTATACTATTGGCTGGTTTCCTTTCCTTTCTTGCTTTTAGAAAAGGTTAGGAATTTAATAATTAATCTTCCTAAACCGATGTGTGTTGGTGATTTGACAAGTTTAGTTGATATTATCGAAGTGTTCATCAACAACACGCCGATTTCTTTCCGGTCTCGATACCTTCCTATACTTTTTGGCAACGCTCAAATTGAGTCAGAACGTTCAGTTTTATTTGATGCCTTATGCATGCCGATTACTATTCAAGAAGTCCTCGATGCCCAATCAATATGCCTACAAGATTATGGTCTTAATAATTCGTCTATTACACTACCAGATAACCCATCTGACTCAACATCTGATCTTCGCTATCTCCTTGTTGATTGTCGTCCTGCAGAGCAATATAATGCTGGTCACTTACCAACTGCTTTTTTCCTGGACTCATCTCTGATTATGTCTGAACCCCTAAAATTTCAAAATGCCGTTAAGGTTAGTTTCACTAAATGTGATTACTGTTGAATTTAAAAAGTGAGTATTTAACTACATTTGACAATCGCAGTGTAATTATCGTTATATCCTATTTCCGCCTCTTATTCTTAGTACTAAGGTTAATTTTGAATGGTTTGTTGTTTGGGCTGCTAATCTATTAGGAATAAGTATTTTAAAAAGTTAAACGTTAACTGAAAATAGATCATAGTGATTAATTGGCATCTAGCTTTTATCTTTAATCTTGAAAATCCTGTTCTGGCTTTATTCATTCTTCCTATTTATATACTTTTCGACATTTGTTTCTTTTTCATTGTGATAGTAAGAATTACAACAGCTCAGGTTTTTTTATTCATTATTTTTAGTACCTGAAACTTCCAGTTAATCGGATCAAATAATTTAATTATCATGATAATTTTAGAAAGTAATTTCTAGTTCTCCATTAAATTTAATTCGAATAGAATAAAACAAATAACTGAATCAGAACGCCTTTTTATTTTTATGAGTTCTTGTTATACGCGTATAATTCTAATCCGCGTATCCAGAAGGGAGGATAATAGGGTAATACCTAAAAATCTTTACTCAAGTTTTAAATCTTCAGTTGCATTCGCTCTTAAATTTGTCGTTCAAACACGGATCAGACGTTGAGTGCTGGTATTTTTTCAATATATTTAGCATAAAAGTTTTCGTTTAAAGGCGGAGGGAAATGATTTCCTTGAAAAAATTCTAAATTATACGGCTGTGGGTTCTATGAGATTGTGTTGCTGCAGTTCTATAAGGCGAAAATATTTAGGACTTTCAAGGTGCTGAGATATGGCCAAAACACTTATGGAGCAGAGTTATATGTCATTTAATTTAGTCATGTATTTTTGTCCTTGTATGTAACTTGAGCAAGGTCTTTTATTGTGTTTAGAATTAGTTTTATGATTCCGTTTCTTCAGTACCATGAAAATGAAGTCAATATTAACTTTTTGTGTGTCAGGAGAGAAAAACTACCAAATGTTTGATAGTCATATCTATTTAAACATGGAACTTTCCAGAGTGCCATGACATTTTGCCGAATAAACATATTTTATTGTTACAATTAAACGTATAGTCTTCAGTATTCACTTGTCTTTTGACTACTATGCCAGTTATAACAGTTAATTTTAATCTTTAATGTATGGGTGAAATTTATGGTATTTCGACCAAGCGTTGCTGTAAAAATGCAAATAAATTATGTTGCCTCGATGGTCACTCAATTTTCCCTAGTTGTGCACCTACTAATTGTAGTGATGGTGTCCAATATATTTTGTTGCTTTTCCTCATAACGTAACGTCAAAATAGTTAGCTGGTTTGATCCCTTGTCCATACCATTTACTCGAGAAGTTAGATTAGCTTCAATGCTCTAGTCCTTGATATAGTCACATTAGATACACAGATAGACATGGTACAATGTGCAAACCTACGTTGTTCGTGGCTGCAAGAATCTCTATCAGGAGGCATTTATACTTCGTCGAGCGCGACATATTCTTCCACAGTTCCGAGATGGTCATTCAAAGCTAATGACAGGATGAATACAACTAGCTGGGTCTGCATGAGCTTTGGCTGGAGCGAATGTAATATATTGCTCATTTCGACCCGTCCCACACTTTAACTCATAATTTTAACTGAAGTTAAAGTTGGTTACCCTAAACCTTGATAATTAAACGAAAATATGATGTTTATTTGCGAGATCAGTGCCTGTTTGTGTGCAATCTAGGTTATTGTATGCTATCAGAGTGAAGTATACAATGATAAGAACTTAATGTCCAAAAACCTTTAGTGATATGGTTCAAAGCAGATCACCATGTTAATACATTTTCGATTTATTTTGATTCTTGAATATTTCACCATTCTGCATTTATTATTCTCCATTAATTTACAATAATTTGCTAGTTAATCACTTTTTTAAAATTACTCTTAATGATCTTTTTATATCTGTGAGTAATGTGACAACTTGAATTAACAAATTATTGCGTGAAATTCTTCGTTAATTGTGTTTTGTTGTCGGATATAAAGCACTTATAGGATAGAGAGAACGTTCGAATTTTAGCCGTATTGATACGGCTAAAATTGAATCCATTACTCAAATGTCGGTTGAGAATAAGGTAAATTCGATTGGACTTCTTCAAACCATCAAAAAATTTTCGATAGTCACAGAAACACTGTACAAAGCTAGAGGGACGTTTGTCACAAACAAACTTTCTTATTTTCATAAAACATGATTTAAATCTGCTTGTTGGTTGAATATCAGGAACGTTATTGGTTGCAACTAACAGGCTTTAATCAGTTATGTAAATGATGCAAATAAACCAACTTAAGTTGTTCGGAGTCATGTTGACTAGCGCCAATTGTTTTTAAAGTAAATCGTGAAAATTCTGTCATTCTACTTTTTTTAAAAAGAACGTAATAAATCGCAAACAACATTCCACGGAATTAACATGAAGTTTTATTTTTGTTTGTAATAAATGGTAATGCCGATTACCTAAAGAGTTGAATAAATTAAAAATAAGTTGATATTCTTTCTTCATAAATTGATTATACTGATAGAACCCTAGCGTTGACTGTTATCCCACTGCATATTTTTACTTTTTTTAAACAGTTTTTATTATCAACTCAAGAACGGTCACTTGCTGCTGGTTCATATGCTGTTGGGAAGCATATCACATTTTTAAGCACTGGGAGAAAAGACGAAGATCAACTAGCTAATATGGTTGTAGCTGAGTTTCTCCGGCAAAACACACCATATGTCAGTTTGATTGAAGGTGGTTATACAGCTTTACATGAAGTCTTAGGTACTTATGAAGTTGGTAGGAGTTTAATTGGTCATGAACCCACAATATGTTTAGGATGTATTGAAGGAAAAAATTTTGTTTCTTCATCAACTTCTGATAGTAAAATGGAGTCATCATGTTTAATAAATGAAAAAGCAAAAGTACAGCCAGTTAATTCTTTGAGTGTTGGGTTATTCTCTAAATTCTCAAGTGCAATTTTTAATACTGGCCGTAGTTTGGATCAAGTACCGAAACTTTTGAAACTTTCAGGTGTAAGTTCAGTGCCAACAACAACAATCAAAGCTGATACAACCCCTACATACCAACCTGTTCAGAATAAAGAAACAAAAAAACCCGTTGCTTACAGAAACACATCATCTGTATTCAGTATTGATGATGACTATGACGAGGATGATCTATGTGATGACGAAGCCGAAACTATTACAAACAGTCCCAATCATACAGAGAAAGAAGCAAAAAATGCGACGTTATCTGAACAGTCAACCTGGTTAAAACGTTTTGTTAAAGCATCTACACAAGTTGCACCTGACATGGATGGAGATTTCCCCCCTCGATTTGATGGTATGGACAGCTGTGAAGTTGGCGATTTAATTGATACTACCCGGTGGTCTAGACGGCCAGAAGTAAGAGGTGTATTTAGTACTCGATTTCTAAGGCCTAATGGACAATTAGGCGATAGTGGTTTACTTGTTTTAGCAGAACGTCATTTAATTTTGTTGCGTCATCCAACTCCTCGACTTCCCAATCAACTCATTAACTCTCTTAGTTCTACTTTACAGTCTGTTTTCAACAAAAAGAATCCAAAATCATCTGAATATTCGGCTATTCAAAAACCAACTACAGATCTCCCAAAATATGCTGTTGTTTATCGATCGATTCCTTTATCTATGGTGGTGAAAATCACATCAAATCGTCGTTTCCCGGAATGTATTACATTTCACTACTGTCCACATGACGAAGGTGACATGCTAAAACTAAACGATCAATCATTATTTAGCATGAAAGATCGATTATATATCAATAAAGCAGGTGAAGCAGTGAAAATGGTAAAAACGGCCATCTTTACTACTGTTGCACCATTGGAAACGTAGTATTACTCATATTGCGGTCTTGTTTTATTACTTTCTTTGTACACTGTGTGTTTTGCACTAATGATTTTATTTATATTTTTTCATGTCATCTGTCAATCAGGAAAGTTGGATTGTGAAAGTAAATTAAAGTTATTGTTTTTCGTACATTTCTCCTAATTTGAACAATAACTTTTTGTTTTGATTACATAAAACTGTGATGTTTAGGTGAAAAATAGTATCTAGATAAAATTTTTTAGTACTATCCTTTCAATCACCAATGCAATTTCTCATCATATCACTGTAATTATAGTTAACCTTACTCACTCTCTTACCTTCAAGGTTAAAGTCTCATTTTGTTTGTATTGAAATGTTTTTTCTTATTCGGGATTACCAAACGTGCTATGCATTAATTTTTTGGTTTAATTTAACTAATTTTTACGAAACAGATTATCAACCAAATAAATCTCTCTCTCTCTTTCTATATATATGATGTTCTGAATTCCTGAACATATGTTGTGCCTGTCAGTGCTGCAAAAATCACACCATAGAGATAAACCGGTGGAGTTCCAATGTAATCATCCGTCTACATCAAAAAAGAAAGGAAAAATTGAAGCGAGTATATGGTTGATGGTGCCTGTTCTAGGGGAAGCTTCGATAGTTTGCCAGTCCAGGTTCGTTTAAGGTACGCTACAGATCTCAGGCACTCAACTGTTAGCAAGCTCTCCTGTGGTTTTAAAGATATTAAAAATGCACTCATCAGAAAGACTCGTATTGGAACAATCGTCCTCAATTTGGGATTCGCAATGGTTTCCGTAGCATCAACAAGCTGACTCGCTAGTGTACACACTCTTTAGAAACAATAAATCAGTTAAAAGTGGCGGGAGTGAATATTGGAGATTATGACGAACAATGTTTCAGCAAAATGATGTCATTTGCAATGCAACTTCATGGTTTCCTATCTAACTTCCGATGAACGGCGCTAATTTCGCACTAAAGAAACTTTGTTTTATGTCTTAGTTGTGTTATGTTCAAGTTGAGTAATCTTCATTACAATACGAAGTTAAGTTGTTTGCAAGGTGCGTTAGTCTTCATCTGACGTAAGGTAGTGTCTTCATGTTCGCCTAGTTCAAATATGTGCGAGCATATCAAAGTTCGTCGGCTAACTCGTTATATTGTATGCACTATGCTTCAAATCTGCTTGATATATATGAAGTGTTACTAGAAATAATGTTGTATTGTATATTACATTTATATGCTAGGTAAGAGAAAGAGACGAAAAAGGCAAAGTTATTCAACAAATTTCAGGAATACATAAAAACAAATAATTCCACAGATAAGATTTAATCAAAAGACAAATGCCCCATTTCCATTTGACGATTCCATCATCTTAGTAAATGGTTTCTGACTATCTTCACGAACTCGTAAATGTGTCCTAAGTAGGATGTGCTCCAAAACACCAGTTCTGATGTCCATCGTAGTAATCTCTGACTTAAGACGCTGAATAGCTTGTTTAATACGCACTACAGACGAACTGTCTGTCATACTCAAACCTTTTTCGTCCATCTCTGTTTTGACACGTTCCAGTTCTTCACTAATTTCAGCTAAAGTACGACTTCGAGTAGTGATTCCGCCACTTGCTTCTCGATACTTGGCATTTATATCACTCAAGTTATCCTATAATAAAAATATAAATATGAAAAGATCATACATGTAGCAGTATTAGTAGTTTGTGAAATACTGTCCTTGAGTATACATATAAAACACTTGTGTGCAGTACCTACGAAATAAGTTATCTTTAAAATAGTACTTTTCACAATATTACTAATTGTATGCACATTCCAAGTAGTCGTTATTAAGTCATTAGTAATTACATCTCCGTTTTTAGAACACTAATTTTTGTCATGATTTTCATGAGCTTCTAATGACATCACCATTTTGACGTTTTTAATTGGTATCGTATTGTAGTAAATTCATTATATTCTTTACTTCCTACATGCTGTAATTTAGACAATTCACTGTAGAATTATGTTTGGATCTGATTGAAAGCATGTCTACACCTCAATGTTTGTCTATCCTGATTGGTTGTAAACACAGATAACCGATAACTTTACATACATGTTGATCCTGACCGTTGTTGCTACCTTGACGGGCTTGCCTATCGTGATGAAGCAACTGAGCTATACTGACTAGAACAACCGTTCCTCAAGGTCCTACCATGCCAGACAGGTCGATTGGAGAACGGTAAGACTAAAAGCAGCAACTCAAGGTCTGAGGGCGAAGTCGTACTGCTGACTGTACAGAGGTGTGACAGCAGTAAGGTGTTTCCTTCAGACAACCAGCATAACATCGATGCTGCCTTCTCACAAGGAGTGTTGCAGTGGGGTTAGAAAAGGTCGACCCTAAAAATGCACACCTCGCCTTATCCCACGGATATCCGTCTCCGGCGGTAAGGACTCAACAATTACGGAGCTAACACAAACATCACTCATAAAAAGGTCGTGTGTGACCGACCTCAAGCAGCTGTCCCTTGGGCACTGCGGTCACGCTCTCAGGTCACTATGACCAACTCTAATCCAATTTCCTTTTCAGGTACCTCCAGAAGAACCCTTCCACGGTGTGGGCAACCGGGAAGTGATAATCGACCTCATACCTCTAACAGCAGTCAAGACCAGTGTATTCATAATCAACCTCCCTCTTCAATTCCTATTATTCCTCCTACATCGACTTTCAAACCTCCTTTGGTTTCCTCCTCACTATAGCCAACGATTCTAGTGCTCAAAACACTGTCCCAGGTCTACTGAAACCTCGCTCCAAACTACACATTGGAGCCTTCAACGTACGCACACTATGCCAAATCGGTCAGCAGGCTTCCTTGGCTAAAACCTTAGAATCTCGTACGATTGATGTATGCTGTGTCTCCGAAACACGCATACAGGATCCTCGTGTGGTCATTCACTTGACCTCACCTCGGCAAAACGGAGAGCCAACGAGATACACCCTCCGTGTATCTGACGACCCGATGGCTAGTTCTCGTGGACTGGCAGGTGTAGGCATAGCACTAAACATGAGGGCGGAACAAGCGCTATTAGAATGGATCCCCGTCAACATTTGTCTATGAGCTGTTTGGCTAAACGGCTCCGTAAGAACTAGGAAGGATAGGGACACACGTCGTTGCCTTTTCGTCGTTTCTGCTTACGCTCCCACTGACTGCAGCTCGGATGAAGTGAAAGATGAATTTTACAGAAGACTCTGAACTTCTTTAGAAAGCTAAACGTTCAGACATAGTACTCATAGCATGTGACTTTAATGCTCAGGTAGGCAGCCTAAACGAAACAGAAAGACATTTAGGTGGGTATTTTAGTATTCTGGTGCAGCGAACAGATAATGGTGACCGTTTGCTGCAACTTTGCTCAGAAAATCGTTTATTTTTAGCAAGCACAAATTTTAATCACGAGGAGAGACATCGTCTAACATGGCGACCCCCTGCACCAAACCAACGATGGACTAAAATAGACCATATTGCCATCAGTCATCGTTGGAGAGGGTCAATAGAAGATTTTCGCTCATTCTGGAGTACCTGCTTGGACTCTGATCATGCCCTGGTACGAGCACGCATCTGCTTGCGCCTCACTGGACGCAAAAGAGCCACATAAAAAAGACTCATTAGAACCGAATTGAGTAATAAGAAAGCCAAAAGTAGGTTCCAGGAACAACTGAGGACACACTTAGGTAGTTCTGAAAACGAGGCTGACCCCGATGTTGATTGGAAAGACATACAAGCAGCTGTGGAAACAGCAGTGACATCTACCAGTGAGTTAAACCACAGGGTTACAAAGAACCAATGGATTTCTTCAAGGTCTATTGCACTGATAGATTCTCGCAAACTCATCCCATCAGGTTCTGAATACGATGAAGAGCGTAAAGAAATCAGATCTAGATTAAGCAAAAGTCTAAGGAACGATCGTGAGCAGTGGTGGGCAACGAAAGCAAAAGAGATGGAAAAGGCGGCGGCTATAGGGAACACAAGACAACTCTACAGACTAATAAAAGAAACTGGAATTAATAAATCAAGTGTAAGTCAGACTATTTCCGAAAAAGACGACACTCTCATCTGCTCCCAGTCCAGACGCTTAGAACGATGGGCGGAACACTTTAAGGAGCAGTTTAGCTGGCCTTCAGCTACTCTACAACTACCCTCTATTCCCAGACAGTATGAATGGAACATTGAAGTAGGTCCCCCATCTCTAACTGAAGTTCAAAAGGCTATAGCTAATCTGAAACGAGGAAGGGCAGCTGGTCCAGATGGATTGGCCCCAGAGGTCTTTAAAGATGGTGGTCTAGTTTTAGCGACTAGGTTGACTAATATTTTAGCTAAAATCTGGGAGTTAGACGTTATCCCATCTAACTGGTCACAATCACTTATCGTCCCAATATTTAAGAAAGGGTCAAAATCATCCTGTGACAACCACAGAGGGATTAGTTTGACTAATATAGCATATAAAATACTAGCCTCAATATTTATCGGACACCTAACTAAGACTCGTGAACTACAAACACGAGAGAATCAAGCTGGCTTCAGACCTGGTCGTGGATGCATCGACCACATATTCACCATTCATCAGGTTCTAGAACACAGGCATACATATCGGTGTCCGACAATGGTGGTGTTTCTTGACTTAAAAGCAGCATTTGACTCTGTACACCGAGAGGTTCTGTGGCAGTGTCTGTCATTGAAAGGCGTTCCTCAGAAGTACATAAACCTTGTGAAAGCTCTTTACTCGAACACTACTATTCGAGTCAGAGCCTATGGCGAACTGTCATCCGCTTTTGCAACCTCAAGTGGGGTCCGTCAAGGCTGTCCACTTTCTCCACTTTTGTTTAACTTTATCATAGACATCCTGATGGAAATAACGCTCTCATCGACTGAATTCTCGGGTATTGATCTCCTACCAGGAGGTCCACTTATTGACTTAGAATACGCAGATGACATAGTCGTGTTTGGTGAAGACGCTGATAAAATGCAGAGTCTTTTGTTAGCACTGAGCAACAATGCCAGAATATTTGAGATGCGCTTCTCTCCCTCTAAATGCAAGTTGTTGCTTCAGGACTGGTCTGCGTCAACAGCTGAACTAAGGATAGGGAGTGAAGTAGTCGAACGCGTTGACAACGTTACTTATCTTGGAAGTCTGATCAGCCCTAATGGGTTGGTGTCTGACGAAATCTCAGCACGGATTCGAAAAGCTCGTTTGGCTTTTTCCAACTTACGTCACCTATGGCGAAGGCGAGATATCCGTCTATCAATTAAGGGACGAGTATAGTTCGTTCCGTTCTACTATACGGCTGCAAACATGGTCTTTAAGAGTAGAAGATACTCGTAAGCTACTAGTATTTGACCACAGATGCCTTAGAAATATTGCTGGGATCACCGGGTAAGTAATAGTGGGGTTAGGCTCAGGATATTAGAGATTGATGGTAAATCAGTT